ACATAAGTTGGATTGTAACTTCTGCCTGGTTAGAAATACTTTAAAGTAGCTTGAACATAATCTAGATTTAACAAAGGCTTTATTTGGAAAGACAACATTAATTTAAGCAGTGACGTCGCTGTCTGTGTGGATTTTAACAGCTGGGAACCCACAATAAAGTGCCTTACAGACTTTGTATAAACAAATATGCGGCAACAGTATTATGATATGGGACTACCGCAGTTTGGTAAGGGGTGGCTGTAAAGTCTGTGTGTTCAAATCCATCTTCTCGCCATAAGTAAATGTGACATTTAAAAGTGTTTTGACTGATTTGTATGACTAGAAAAGTGCCATTAAGATTCAGTTTATTTACCTCGTTCAAAAGCAAAGTTGGACCACAAATGTTAAGCTTTCTTTATGATAGGACGATCATTTTTAAACTGACTAAACTTTTTTTTTTTTACAAAATTCTAATACAAAAGATGGATCTTTTATATTTAGGAAGCCTTCTCGTACAACATCTTGAAAAAACAACTGCAAATATTGACTGAAATATGTAAGCTTAAGCAAACAATGGTTTTAGAAAAAAAAGGATAGTGTTTGTGCATGTACTCCTCTACATTTGATCATTAGCAAACATTGCACAGAGGCATTTTAGCTGTTTTTCTTTAAGCAGGGAAATATAGCACGTTTTATATGGGGTTCCATTTGTATCAAAAATAAGTAGAAGTCATATGTGTAGATGTGTCGTTGCTATGTGTTGTTGGTCTATGTCGTTGGTCTATGTTGTACCCCATAGAGAACACATATGCAGCGAACGCCTATGCAACATAGACAGATGCAGCGAACGCATATGCAACATAGATATATGCAACATCTACATATAAAACATAGACATATGCAACATCTACATATTCAGCAAACACATATGCAGCGAACGCATATGCAACATCTACATATGCATCATCTACATACAACATAGACCAACGACATAGACCAACAACACATAGCAACGACATATCTACACATATGACGCAACGACACATCTACACATATGACTACTTATTTTTGATACAAATGGAACCCCACAGAATTCAAATAAGCTGTGTGCAGCTCATTTCACTTGTGCCTTCTGCGAATGAACAACGGTTTTTCGATTTGCTACGAGCGGAGCTAACTCTTGCAAAAATTAGCTCAACTGCAATGGCGCGGAGGAAGATGTCCGATGTGGAGGCGCTGGAAGAAATATTTCGGAACGATGTTGAGCTGGAAGACCCTTCTGATAGCTGGTGGGATTCGGACGAGGAGGAAGAGGAAGAGCCGGACACAGCTGACAGACTTGATCTTGGTGATGTGTAAGATTCCCCCCGCAATTTCACACAAAATATTTGATGTTTTGGTTCTATTTATTTATTTATTTATTTATTTATTTATTTATTTATTTATTTATTTATTTATTTATTTAATTTCATTTCTGTGATTATATGCTTGTAATAACGGCAGGAAGTAAAACCATGTGGTTATTTGTTTATTTATGTTTTACTAAAATATGTTTTATTTTACTAGTAAGGATTTCATGTTTACTTTGGTTCATTACTTTGTAATAAACCTCTAATTCTTCAAATACTTTATTTTTATTTATAGTCAAGTGGAAGCCGAACCATCAAGCTCAGATGGAGCTGAACCTCCCCCCACCTCTCATGATTCTTCATCTTCTTTGAGGTAAGATGTCCATTATGCCAAAAAAATTGTTACAAAATAAGAAATGTGTTGTCACAGTGCAACATTGGTGTCTTTGCTTTATTTCATAAGACTGTGTGATGCAGCTTCATTTTCAGTATGTCATTTTTTGTCAAATTTAGTCTTCAATATATTTCATTCTGTTTCCACAGTGGAGATCGTGCAGGAGAGGCTGATGAAGACTATGTTCCACCAGTTCCTTTGAGGTCTTCAGGGCGTGGAAGAGCTCCAGCCCCAAAAAGAACAACAACCACACACAAAAAGGCAAGGAAACAACAGAAAGTCAGCTCCTCAGCGCACCAACAACAAGACGAGGATTGTTGGCACACTAGAGAGGAACTTGATACGGAGCCCGGATGTCCATTATTTACTCCAAAGAAAGACCCAGGACCTCAGACTGACTCTACAAAAAGTTGGTCACCCCTGAGTCTGTTCAAGCTTTTCTTTAGTGCCTACACCATTCGGGAAATAATCAAAAACACAAATGAAAATGCACAGCGTTTACTTGCAGCTGGAAAAAAATTCAAATGGTCACCTTTGACAGTGGACGATTTTTACAAATTTTTAGCCATAATTATATTCAGCGGACTGGTACAAGTACCTTCAAAGCCAGACTTCTGGCGAACAAAATGGTCATATAATTTTCCATTTCCACGTAGCTGCATGACCCGTGACAGATTTGAGTCCATCCTTTGGTCCCTTCACCTGTCCAACATCAAAAAAGATGAAGAAAATGACCAAAAAAAGGGAACTCCTCAGTATGATCGGCTATTCAATCTGAAACCACTTTATGACGACATCAGAGTTGCCTGCAAGACTCATTTTCAACCAATGCGAGAAATATGCATTGATGAACGGATGGTGGCCAGTAAAGCACGAATTGACTTCAAGCAATTTATGAGGGACAAGCCTACCAGGTTTGGGTATAAACTGTTTGTTTTGGCTGATTCCAGGACTGGGTATACTTGGAATTTTTTCATTTACCAGGGGAAGTCTGCTGTTGTTCGGGAAGAAGGTCTCAGCACCACATCAGTAATGGACCTCATGGAGTTTGGACTTTTAGGAAAGGGCTACCATTTATATCTGGACAATTTCTACAGTAGTCCTTACCTATTTCAAAAACTGGCTTCAAACAGCACTGCTGCATGTGGCACCATCCGGCAAAATCGTGTGGGATTCCCCAAAACAACACTGAACAACCTTCCAAGATCTGCACAGAGGGGAGAGATGCGGTGGATCAGAAAAGACGGACTCCTATTTATCAAGTGGAAGGACACCAAGGAGGTGACGGTCTGCAGCACCTTCCACAAAGCTTTCAGTGGAGCAACTTTAAAGAGGAGAGTCAAAGAGGCAGGGCACTGGGTAGTGAAAGATGTTCCCGTTCCTGACTCTGTGAAAGACTACAATAAATTCATGGGATGAGTTGATCTGTCTGATGCCCTGATCCAATACTACTCAGTCAGAAACAA